TCATGAAGAAATCGTAAACAGTCAGGGGAAATAAGAAATCATGGAAAATCATAGGGATGTTACGAGAAATCAGAAAAAAAATCATTGACAAATTCGCATGAGTAGGTTTTCTTGTCTTCATTTATAGTAAATTAGAAAAAAAACTTGAGGAAATCATAATAAATCATGAGAAAATCGGGAAGAAAAAGAGGAAATCACTGAGAAATTTGCAAATAGGTTTGCTTTTGTTGATTTGTAGCAATTAAGAGAAAATCTTGAAGAAATTGAAGAAACTTAGGAAAAATCGTGGGGAATGAAAGGCAAGGAAAATCATTGACAAATTCGTACACATAGGTTATTTCTATTAAAAACTTGAGGAAATAATGAGGAAATCAGGGGAAATCACAAGAAATCATAGGAAKTCATGGAGAATCAGGGAAAATCATGACTAAAACAAGGAAATTAGGAAATATCATTAAGAAAACCTTGCAACTAAGTTTTCTTTTGTTTATTTGTTCAAAATTAGTATAAATCTTGAGGAAATCAAGAGAAAATTAAAAGAAATCATGAAAAAATCAAAAAGAACATCAGAAAATAAAAAAAAACTGAAAATAAATATAATAGATAAATTTACGCAAGTAGGTTGTCTTTTATTCATTTGCAGCAAATTTAGGAAAAATCTTTAGGAAATCAGAAGAAACCATGGGGAAATCAGAGGATATCATGAGAAAATCAAGGAAATCAGGAAAAATCAATGAGAAATTCGACCAAATAGGTTTTCTTTTGTTTATTTGTAGCAGTTAAAAGGAAATTTTAAATAAATCAAAGAAACTTCTGGGAAATCAGAAAATCCTGGAAAATAAAAAGGAAATCAGGGGAAATCATTGACAAATTCGTACACATAGGTTATTCCTATTAGAAACCTTAAGGAAATAATGATAAAATCAGAGAAAACCACAAGAAATCATGGGGAATCAGGGAAAATCATAACGAAAACAAGGAAATTAGGAGAAATCATTAAGAAACCTCGCAACTAAGTTTTCTTTTGTTTATTTGTGGCAAATTTTGAGGGAATCAAAAAAAATAAGAAAAAACAATGGAAAATTAAAGGGATATCAGGGGAAATCAAGGAAAATCATTGACAAATTCGCGCAAGTAGGTTTTCTTTTGCTGATTTGTGGAAAATTAGAGGAAATCATAACGAAATCAATGAAAATCAGGGAAAATTAAGAGAATTTACAGGTAATCATAAAGAAATCAGAAAAAATTATGAGAAAATTACAGAAATCGGGAAAAATCATTGAAAAACTCCCGTAAGTTTTTGTTTATTTGTGGAAAATTAGAGGGAATCTTGAGAAAATCATAACAAAACCGAAAAAAAACAGGAGAATTCATAGGTAGTAGTTAAGAAATTAGAGAAAATCAAGGAAATCGGGGAAAATCATTGAGAAATTGCCGCTTATTTGTAACAAATTAGGGAAAATCATAAGGAAATTATGCAAAAAAGAAAATCTGGTGTACAAAATTTGAATTGCGGTTTACCCCTCGGTTAAAATTGAACAAAATTTTAATAAAGTTTTTTACAGAATAGGGACAGCTCTACAGAAACTAATTAAACCATTAAACGAAATTATACAAAACTGTTTATAATAAATTGCTGTGATAGAAGAATTTCGAAGTATTTTTAAAAACCCCAATTTACAAGTGACGCCACTGCGAAGATATCTAAAAACACTCACCTACTTGCCTAAAAAAATTAAAACACCAACTTTCGCCAAATAAATAGCACATTGCAATAAAATACTTAGCTGCTCTTATCAGAGAGACAACCTTGAAAGTTGTGATGTTACTTAACGAAACAATGGACTTTTAGTAAAAGTGGAGACTTAGGGAGTATTGTAGTTAAAAAATGGGATTAATTTCAATGTAATATGTGAATTGGTTAAAGTTCGTTAGTTTTTAGGTGCGGAGCCGTCGATCACTACTGTACGTATAAAATTCTGTCTATTTATAAACCAATTGAAATAACCTTGTTCAAACTACGTCACCCAATAAACAAAACGATAATTTTTGATTTATCTTTCATTCGGTAAAATGTATTGTACGACTCAAAACCGATTTATTTATGCATTTTGATGTATTTTTAGACACAAAATACTAGATTAGAGCTGTACTTACTCTCAGAAAACATGTTTATGAGCATTAATTAATATGTAAATATTAAACAATTTATGTAAAATTCAAAATGTAAGCCACGTCAAACACCTGAAACTCATTTTAGATTTTTTAAATCAAGTTTGATGGAAAAATATAACCAATCGCAACTGCCTTCAAAACCCCAACCTAGTGAAAATGCATCTTTCCTATCGCAACTATTTTTTTGGTAAAAACCCAAAATTTTCAAACTTTTATTGACAATTATTTCAGTTGGGCACCAAAATTCTTTTATGATGGCTACACCAAACACCCCAAAGAAGAATATTATGCCAGTGTTAAAAGCCACAGTTCGTGTTATTTAGGTGAAAAATTAGAAAAGTCATGGAAAAAAACGAGTCCGTCTCTGTGGAAAGCATTATGGAAAACGTTTTATCTAGAATTTGTTGCTCTATGTCTCCTATTTATTGTTTCAGAGTTTACGTTCAAGTAACTGTTTTATTATATACTGAGCGATATTAAAATTGTCCGTTTTTAGAATAAGTCAACCATGGCTAGTCGGAAAACTCATGGATGAAATCCTGAATTCCACAAGCACGAAAAACTCGTACTATTTTTACGGTTCTTCAGTCGTTTTGGTGAATTTTTTAAGTGTGATTGTGGGTCATTTCTACCACCTCAAAGTCCAACATTTAGGGATGAAAATACGGATCAGTTGTTGTTCTCTCATCTATCACAAAGCTTTAAAGATTAGTAAACAAGTCGAATCGGAGTCGAAAATGGGAAAAATCGTTAATTTATTATCAAACGACGTAAACCGTTTTGATTTGGCACCTATGCACCTAATAAATCTTATTGTAGCCCCATTTGAAACTCTCTTTGTGATATTTAGTTTGTACGCAACAATTGGCACAACATCAATCACCGGAATCATTTTTCTAACAGTATTTATGCCACTGCAAAGTAAGTCGAATCATACAGGGTGTCCCAAAGATCGGTATTTCTTCGATTACTCTGACAGTAAAGAAGGTAACGAAACGCGGTTATTTTTGGACGATAACATTCATTTTTTTCTATGGTCCAAAAATATTTTCGACATTATAGGTACTTTCTATATAGGGTGGCGCAACAAAGTTATATTTTTTATTATGGAACACCCGGTATATTATGCGCTTATTTGAAAGAGTTTTTGATTCTAAGAATATCCATATTAGGTTTTATGGTTCGATCATGGACCGTTTATCATTTATGGGCAATTTTATGAAAAAAAAGTACCATTTTTGAAAAATCACAAATAATTTGATTTTTTCAAATGAAACACCTTGTATGTTATTACTTTATCGTGTAGAGCTTTTAATAAGCTTTCTGAAAAACCTAGGGTTTGGAGGTCTAAACTTTACCTGTTTTATTGTACACCCTTTAAACCTACAAAATTTTAACTTATCCTATTTAGTCTTAAAAATCAAGTAGGTTTGCGTTACTTCCTCTTCTAAAAAAGTAATTTTTTTAAAGTTACGTTATCACCATACATCAATCAAGTTTGTTAGAGAATGTAGAATTATGTGATGGAGCTCCTGTTCATTTTTGTCGTATTGTGCGACAATTTTTAGATTTCCTAATCGATGAGGAGAACTATTGTCTGGCCACCGCGATCTCCGGATTTGACTACAATTGATTTCTTTTTATCGGAATGTGTTGAAGAGATGTATGGAATAAGACCCTCCTCCTTTTGTAGGTTTAAAAAGGCGTACAATAAAACAGGTAAGGTTTAGACCTCAAAACCCTAGGTTATTTAGAAAGCTTATTAACCCTGTAAGGATATTCTGACCGTACGGTTACATTGACTTCAAATGTCTATTTTAAAACCAGGCATTTTTCGCCTATTTTCACCTATCATATTTTTTTTAACTTTTAAATTTTCAACATATTGCGACATAGTTTGATACGTTGCCAACAAGTGAACTTTTTCGGTTATGTTAGCTTAGATTTTCGCTAAGTAAAACAAATTTTTATGAAAATTTTGATGTTGAGGCATTTATTATGAATAGAATGATAGTTCTAGTAACTTAGTTTAGTTCAGTCTAGAAATAGTTTGATGTTTTTTGCAATTAAATTTATACGTAACCATATGGTTGCACTGCCTCTAAAGTACTTATTTTTTAAACAGATTATGAACTTTTTTTCATCAAGACAAGGTGTTTTTATAGAAAAAAAAACCCAAACATGCCTGAAAAACGGGATAAACTTCGTCTACCTCCTGAAAAATATCTAATTCAGACTTATCTGATTATTCCGAAAGTGAAACAGACGAAAACGACCAAAATTTTATTTTTGCTAGAGTTTTGGTTTCAGAAATTGATTCAAAAAAGAGATGTTTAACAGATGAAACAGGAGAAGTTATATCTGAGGCAGATTATCCAGAAGAAACAACAGAATCCTCATCGGAAGACGAAGAATCTTATACCACCACCCACGTAAAAGGAAAACTCAAAATACCTGCAACAGCCAAAAATACAAAACAAAAATTCGATTTTAATTTTAATTGGAGAAAGAATGACAGAACAAAAAGGAAGACAGAGAAGAATAATATATTTTGTATTTTTTTTTAATAAACCTTCAATTTGTAACATTTCTTAAATAGGCAAAGTACGTTTTCTTATAACAAATATCAATTACTAACACGTAAAATGCGATTCTAATGTTACATGAATAATTCTTACAAACTTTCATAATTTAACTGGTCCTGCCACTTACAGGGTTAAAAGCTCTACATGATAAAGTAATAATATACAAGGTGTTTCATTTGAAAAAATCAAGATAATTGATATTTTGCGAATGTCAACACTCTGCAGTAGTTGCAAAAGATGGTTGAAATTGTTTTTATTCACTTTTTCTTTCTAGCAAAGTGATTTTTCAAAAATGGTACTTTTTTTCATAAAAATGATAAACGGTCCATGATAGACCTATAAAACTTAATATGAATATTTTTAGAATTAAAAACTCCTTCAAATAAGCGCATAATATACCGGGAGTTCCATAAGAAAAAATTTAACATTGTTGCGCCACCCTATATGGGAATTACCTATAATGACGAAAAGATTTTTGGACCAATACCAGAATGAATTTTTTACTGTCAATGTAGTCGAAGAAATACGGATCTCTGGGACACACTGTATTTGCCGATTTTGTCTAATTCTCTACTAGTGTTTATGGGGAAATTAACAACGACTTATAGACTGAAAAGTGCCTCAAACACCGATCAAAGAATCAAACTGATGAACGAAATTATCACAGGGATGAAAGTAATAAAAATGTTTGCGTGGGAGAAATTGTTTGTGGATATTATCGAGAAAGCTAGAAGGTGAGTGGGGACATTAACGATTCATAAAAATGTTCATTTTCAGGCTTGAAATTCGCCAAATACGTAAAATATCAAACATTCGGGCTTTGAACATCTCTTTCATGATTTTCATAAACCGGACCGGAATTTTTCTCTCCGTCATGACATATTTCCTTGTACGGAAACAAATCGATGCCAAATATGTCTTCGTTTTATCTTCGTTTTACGCAATTTTGCGACAAACACTGACCGTTTATCTGCCCTTCGCCATACAAAATTTCAGCGAAACTAGAGTCTCGATCGAGAGAATTCGACTTTTCCTCACTAGTGATGAACAAGTTTCAGTGACGTACATCGCAGGTAGTGATAAACCCCAACTTGTGAAATGTGAAGTCATTCAGGAATTTGAGACTAAAGAGGCGCAAAAACCTGGAATTTGTCTGAAAAACGCTTCAGTGAAATGGCTCCTCTCTGAAAATAACACCTTGAATAATGTAAATTTTGAGGCTTGTGGGGAATTTGTGATCATCAGTGGGCCAGTTGGTGGCGGGAAATCCACTTTTCTCTATGCAATTTTGCAAGAACTGCCACTTGACCACGGCGAAATCGACGTGAGAGGAGCCCTGTCGTATATGTCGCAAGAACCGTGGCTTTTTTCGGGGACTGTCCAAGAAAACATCCTCTTTGGGTCAAATTTCGACGAAAAAAAATACAACCAAATCGTGCGAATTTGTCAATTGGAGGAGGATTTTCCCGACAAGATTTTGGTTGGCGAAAATGGAGCTTTGCTAAGTGGGGGCCAAAAAACCCGAGTGAATTTAGCTCGGGCCCTTTACAAAGACGCCGATATTTATCTCCTAGATGATCCATTTGCGTCCGTTGACACTCTCATCGGAAAAAAAATTTTTCAAGGCCTTTTAACGTACTTGAGGAACAAATGTGTGATTCTAGTGACAAACCATGCTGGTTTTTTTCCCGCAGCTGATAAAGTCTACACCTTAGATAAGGGTTATCTCACACGTGTTGCCAACATCGAGAGAAAGAAGCACAGTTTTGAGGAACAACCCAATAAGGAGCACAAAATTGTCGAGTTGAAACAAGAGCTAAAGAAACAAGGAACTGTTACTCGTCAAGTGTTCAAAAAATATGCTAAATCTGCTGGGAGTTGTTCAAGTCATTGTCTCCTCTTTTTGTTGTTTCTTGCAGCGCAAATTGCGGCCAGTGGGGCTGATTATTTTGTGGCTTTTTGGTAAAAAACCAAATGGGGAAATTTCATTAATAATAAGTTATTCCTAGGGTTAATTTGAAGCAGTCCACCAGCCCTTACAGTGACGATATTTGCTTACAAATCTACCTCAGTTTTATACTAGCAACCGTAATTTTCTCAATCACCAGATCTTTGGCTTTTTTCAGACTTTGCATCAAAGCGTCGATTAAATTGCACAATTGCATGTTTGCCAACGTAGTTAAAGCCCCAATGACTTTCTTCGAGACGAATTCGTCGGGGGAAATACTGAATCGTTTCTCGAAAGACATCGGGATGGTTGATGAGACGATTCCTGCAATTCTCATGGACACGTTTCAAGTAATGAAATTGACATTTTCGAGGGGCCGTTAACTTGAAAAAAATGTGTACAACTAATTCCAATTCCAAAAAAATTCCACCGAAATTCCAGTAATTCCAAAAAATTCCAGTAATTCCATCTTTTTTAGATTAAATCCTGTAGTTCCAACTTAATTTCCGTAGTTCCCAAATAATTCTTGTAATTCCAAATTAAATAGTTCTAAGAAATTCAACTTAATTTTGAAAAGAAACAGTACATATGAGTGTCCTTGAAGTTCAGCGCTTGCGCAGAAACTCTGATAATCTAAAAAAGAATTTCAGTAACTCCAAAAAGAATTCCAGTTATTTCAAAAAGAATTCCAGATAATTTCCAGTAATTCACAAGTAATTCCAGTAATTTCAGACAATCCAAAGGTATTTTCAGTAATTCCAAATAATTCTAAGCAATTTCCCATTAAATTCCAAAAATTTATACAACTAAATCCAGAGTAAACGGTCTCTCGTTATTAAGCGATATTTCTTTTTTTTGCCCAACTGTGGCACTTTTGGCTACTGAAAAAAAAAAATATTTTTTTACTTTCCTTACCCTATAAGGAAAATATTGTAATCGGCTGAAATTTGACGTACCTATATTTCTTTTACATTTCAGGACGAATTATAGCTTCAAGACACCAAAAAAGTTGGTTTGGGCCATTGGGTCGTGTGTGTGTCTGTCTGTCTGTAAACAGCATATCTTGAGAACGATACCGCAAAATTATACGGTTGGAGATACAATAAATTCATGGGGATAAAAATTATGTAGAATAGAAAATGTGATAAAATAAAAATAATAATGGGTACAAAAAAAATTGCACCCCAGACTCAAACCCGCGACAACTATGATCTATTTCGCTTGTAATCCGGCAGGTGGCACTGACGCAAAAGTTAGGTTTGCTACTCGGATGTCCAACACTAAATTATTGTCGTAGGATGTTTTTCAAATAAGTAGGATAAGGAAAGTCGTGTGAGGTTCACACCAGATTTTTTATTTTTAAAATTAAATATTCTTTTATTTATCAATTTCAAATATAGACAATTTAATAATCTATTAGATGCAACAACAAAAAATTAGGTGTTCATAGTTATAAATACGTAGTAAAAATTATGTTTTCGGCAATAACAATTTTTATTTACTTTAAAAACAATGTTTTTGTTATTTGTTATACACAGTAAAATTTGATAAAATCTAATTAGGTAGTTATACAGGGTGATCCAGCGAGTTGGTGGTAATAGTCAATTATTGACTTTTAAATGTTAAATATTCAAAAAAGTTTATCCAAATTTCATAGACATTACTACCATCTAAAATTAATTTCAAGTATACAAGGTGTTTGATAAATAATTCATAATACACACTTACATTTTTTAACAAAACACTCTTCTGTAATTTTTGCAATCTTGATTCTTTCGTGAAAACATTTTTTTTAAATATGTATTTATCTTATTACACAAAAACTAATATTCCTAGAAAAATAACATTTTCACAATTTTAAAGAAGGAACTTTGAACTTCTATTTTTGTCGCCGATTTACCATTAATAATGGTAAAAAAATYCAGAAATTTGTTAAAAATTAAATAACTCAAGAAATTAAATGGACTTATCCAGAGATTGTAAAAGCCGACATGAATATTGAAATTCGAATTGTTTTATTGTAGAAGTAAAGAATAAATGTGATTATTAAGCGAGGGGCCGTTAACTTGAAAAAAATGTGTACAACTAATTCCAATTCCAAAAAAATTCCACCGAAATTCCAGTAATTCCAAAAAATTCCACCAAAATTCCAGTAATACTAAAAAAATTCTATTAACTCCAATAATCCATCGAAATTCTTTTTTTTAAGATTAATTCCTATAATTCCAAATTAGTTCCTGTAATTCCAACTTAATTTCCGTAATTCCAAAATAATTCCTCTAATTCCAAATTAAATAATACTTGCGCAGCACGCTCAAGTATAACTACGTTATCAGTATGATACTTCAAGTA